GGGGAAGTGCCTTTCTTTTTTTTTTTTTTTTCTTCTAACGTGAAAAACCAACCAACCTAAACACGTATGGTGTGATTGATACTCTAGAGGGAAGGGGTGCCATCCAGAAGGACCTTGACAGGCTTGAGATGTGGGCCTGTGCAAACCTCATGAAGTTCACCAAGGCCAAGTGTAAGGTCCTGCACCTGGGTTGGGGCAATCCCAAACATGGATACAGGCTGGGGGATGAGTAGATTGAGAGCAGCCCTGCAGAGAAGGACTTTGGGGTCTTGGTGGATGAAAAACTGAATATGAGCTGGCAATATGTGCTAGCAGCCCAGAAAGCTGATTGCATCCTGGGCTGCATCAAAAGAAGTGTAGCCAGCAGGTTGAGGGAGGTGATTCTCCCCCTCAGCTCTGGTGAGACTCCACCTGCAGTACTGCGTTCAGCTCTGGAGCCCCCAGCATAAGAAGGACATGGACCTGTTGGAGCAGGTCCAGAGGAGGGACGTAAAGATCATCAGAGGGCTGGAGAACCTCTCCTATGAGGACAGGCTGAGAGAGTTGGGTTTTTTCAGCCTGGAGAAGAAAAGGCTCTGGGGAGGCCTTATAGCGGCCTTCCAGTACGTAAAGGGGGCCTACAGGAAAGATGGGGAGGGACTCTATCAGGGAGTGTAGTGATAGGATGAAGGGTAACAGTTTTAAACTGAAAGAGGGTAGATTTAGATTAGATATTAGGAAGAAATTCTTTGCCGTGAGGGTAGTGAGACGCTGGAACAGGTTGCCCAGAGAAGTTGTGGATGCCCCATCCATGGAAGTGTTCAAGGCCAGGTTGGATGGGACTTCGAGCACCCTGGTCTAGTGGAAGATGTCACTGCCCATGGGAGAGGTGTTGGAACTAGGTGATCTTGAAGGGACCTTCCAACCCAAACCATTCTAGGATTCTATGTATTTTACAACATGTACAATGCATACATGTATGTACAATTAGTACCTTGAACACAACTCATGAATTTAGAATTTTTTCTATTGAGCCAAGTTTCTACCTAGGTTCATAAAACAGTTGGATAGTTTCACTTTACAAAAAGTGAAATATCTTTAGGATGTTATTAACACTGTTTATATGATATAAAGAACAGCTTAACTTTTTAGTTTAAAGATGTTTTTATCGGGAGTAGGGACATATTTTTAAATCTAGGTTTAAAGTATTGTAAAAATAAACATTCTGATATCATTCTGAAGCAAGTATGGTTCTTTCCTATATGTTATGCAACAGCTTCCAGTGCTTTTGTACGCATCTTTATCTGCTTGACAAAACTTTTGACTGCTTGACAGAGGGAGGGGATGAGTGGAGGAGGTATAGATGGGAACATTTAATTTACTAGTGAGGTGCACAGGACTGCTGAACCAGACCTGTGTAGTGATCAGGGCACATTCAGTCATAGCAGAAGTAACTTTTGATGGCCTGGTTAAGGAAAGTCTCCTGTCCTGATGTTCATGAAGTGTCTGTTCATATCTTTACCAGTGTCACAGGTCCCCAGGTCAAGCAAAGCCTGGAGGTAGATACATGTAGGCCTCATCCATGTGCTGCTTTTAGCGGTATTCCTGCTTGAGCTGCAAGATCCCAGCTCTGAGTTGTGTGACTGTCTTGCTGCAGCTTCCTCTGCCTGCTACCCCACATGGTCACTGAAATATTTCCCTTGAGCAAACTTGGCTGCTTTCTGGAAAAAAGAGCTCTAGAGGGTTACCCTAACCTGGTGTCTTCGAAGAACATTGGCACACCTCAACAGACACATCGACTGCTGTTTGTAACTTCCAGGCATCTTGGAGACCCCCAAAAGCAGGTTGCACCTTTGTAAAAACTTCTGTCAATTTTTTGCATGAAGGCAATAAACCAGGCTGAAGTTATACATGCAAATAAAAATGTGAATGAAGGCAGCTTGGAGTGTTTTCCAGTGTCAGTGTTCATGAAGGAGCAGAAGTTACTTAACACTGTCAGGAATTCTTTATGGTGCTTTGTCAGTCAAGCTGTACGTTGAACCCTTCTGTTCATTCCCGTCTCCCTGGGAATACTTGCATGCTGCCTGGTTTCTGCAGGTGGGAGGAATCTATGGGCTGTGTAAGCATACACTGCTGATCATACTTGGTGTGAAGTGGCATTTGACCTTTAGGTACTGCACAGACAGAAAGTTTCCAGGTCTGATTGTCTGTGACGCATGCATAATGGCTTGTTTTACTATGCGACACATGTGATGCAGGGGCATGTGTCTGGAGTCTAATTTGAAGACTTTCTAGTTGCTGCTAAATAACTGTCTTTTAAGTAGAAGTCATGTTTTGTCTATATGTCTCCTGCAAGCTGCTGAGCTTGAAGACACTGCACATATGTTGCAGAACAGGATTCACAGTGACAGATTGGATAAATGATTAAGAAAAATTGGTTACAGTTAAATGAAAACAAATTCAAAGATCTACACCAAGGAATGCAGGGAAAACACATGAGCCTCATAGCTAGAGCGTATCACAAAATAAGTGTGTCTATTTATTCTGTAGTTAGAAAAAGGTGCACATCATGCTGAAGCATGTAAAGAAATACTGTCTGTAGGGCACACCAATAGCCCATAAAGCAGGATTTTTTTAAAATAACTCTGGGCATTGCATTTTGTTAGAGTTATGGGCAAATTTGAAATTCAAGAGGACCGTACAAGTGATCAGAAGTTTGGGAACCGGGACTCAGGATTTGGGCAGGGGTGCAAAGTTTGTATAATCTAGAGCAGTGGTTTTTAGCTTTATTTTCCTTTGCAAACATTTTTTCAATGTTTGGAGTTGCAGACGAAATAGAGAGCTTTTTAAAGCCTATAGGTAGTAGGACTCCTCTTCAAAGTTATTTCTGTGGGCCCTTAAAAACAGCTCACTTGACCACAGGTTGAAAACTTCAGTTTTATAGAAGAGAAGTTTGAGGAAAGGGATGGAGAAAAATGAATTTGAAGATGGTTTAAGAGAAGAAGACAAAAAGTCATTCCCTGCATTCTTAGTGGTGTGAGACTAGAGTAGTGAGCTTAAACTGCAGCAAGGAAGGATTACTTCACATAAAACAGTTTTCTAATAACATAACGACATACACCTAGAGAAGCTGCAGAAAGTCAGTATGTTGGAAGAAAAGGTAGACAAATACTTGGTGGGCAGGAGGAAGATGACCTTGATGATTTCTGTGAGTTGGATGTAACAGCTGAAATAATCACATTTAAAGTGACGAGAGTTGGTTTGCTTGTAATGAATACTGCTGAAGACATACTGGTTTATTCCCGAAAAGTGACCACATTTCCATGGTGGATTACTTTACTACTTTGTGTGGGAATACATGCTAGAGAATGGGCTTGGCCATGTCAAGTACAAAACACTGGGGTTACTTATGGGCATCTTTGGGAGATGCATATGCTCTGCTTCTCGGGGGCTGTAGTCCAAAGTGATAGATCTCAGCAATTAATGTGTTTTGCAGCAGTGAGATGAACAAATACCCTTTACGCCTTGTGTGTAAAGCAGCTTTATTGTCATCTCTTAACTGTCAGAGTTGCCTTCTTGTTTTTCCCTTGCCTGCCCATGATGTATGTTCTTCTTTATTAGGCAATGCATTTAAAACACATTGGTACAAGCTGTGAGTTTCAAGAAGTGTTTATGATTACTTTTATTAGCTGCATTTGCAGGTTACTCTAGGAGCCACCTAGTGATACACTAATCCTAATAAAATGTATATAAAACCAAAATATCTGTAGTTGTAAGCAGGACATGCTCAAGATGTGTGTGCACTCACGTATAAATATAATTAACTTTTGTTTTTCAGCTACAAGAAGAAAGATGCAGATTTGTCTGTGGCTCAGGGTCGCATTAAGGATCTTGAAGTGCTGTTCCACAGAAGTGAAGCAGAACTCAATACTGTCCTGAATGAGAAACGCAGTCTGGAAGCAGAGGTGGCCGATTTGCGTGCCCAGCTTGCTAAGGTATGGCAGTGAATGCTTCCTTGCTTTAGCACAGGAGAGGCTGCATATTGTGAAGTTTGTTATTTTTATTTGCAATTAGTTTATAGTCTGAACATCATTGATCCAGCTTGCTTACTGCTGAAGCTTTGCCTGCCACTCTTGGATATGAAACTAAATTGTAAGAAATTTCTGTAAAACAACCAAAGCAACGTGGTGTTTTAGAAATTTTGCTAGTCAAAAGCTTTTATTTAAATGTTTCTGGTAAGTATTTCTATATTCATGAAATATCAGGTTACTAAATGTTGTCCTTTGTAAGATCCTGCATAATTTTAAACTTATGCTGGAGTACCCAGTGGGGCTATGCTAGCAAGAAAAAGAACATGCAACATACTGTGCTTGAGGAATTAATAATCCTTAGCTCCATTATCATACTGTATTGAAATAATACTATGTTTTAAATAACTGGTATACAAACATGAAAGCTTGTTTTAAATATTCGTAAGCATACACACACTTTTTTCTTTTTTGTTGTTTTTTTTTTTTTTTTTTAGGAAAATCAGTGTCTTGACATTAGATTTGTTGTTGTGAATAATTGGTCCAAAGATGTCAAATGAAGACCATAAAGGGATTATGGATGGAAAACAGGGATCCAGACAAAATTAAATCTTTTATCTTTAAAATTCTTTACTAGGCTGAAGATGGTCATGCTGTGGCTAAGAAGCAGTTGGAGAAGGAGACCCTCATGCGTGTGGACCTGGAGAATCGGTGCCAGAGCTTGCAAGAGGATCTGGATTTCAGGAAAAATGTGTTTGAGGAGGTATTATCAACCTAGTAGTCTTACAGTCTGAGGTTTATGTAGCTTTTATTCAAACTGACTATAAGCCATTACTAACTAGTCCAGGTAGGGAAAATCAGTACTATCGTTGCTATAAATGGATTGAGTAATAAAATAGTTAAACGTTTTGCAAGAGTTACATGGTAAATCAGTGGTGGAGCTGGCATGAGAGCCAAGTGACAAGGGTATTGTTCCATGGGCAGGTGAGCTAATGTAGCAGCTGGCTGCTGTGGGAAAGGAAAAGTCTTGTTCCCTCTCTCTGGACCTGGTTGCATGGCCCTGCTCCTTACTTGAACCAACTTTGGTGATTGTTGGACATGACTATAACCTGTTTTCATTGACAAGAACAGTATGCAATTACCTTGCTCTTTGGAGGGGTAGTTTTCTGCCTGTTTAGTGAGTTGAGTTGGCTCATAGTGGTTCTAGTAAGGCCCAAAGTTTTTATAAAGTAAATAGTGGGAACGCACAGGTGGCTATTAGGAAAGGGAAGCATGACCTTTTCTCTGTACCAGATGCAAAGTGTTATGTCAGTTTATTCCATCTTAGGAAACCAACTTGGACCTTTGGTTCTTCTGCAAGCTCATTCAATTAGTGGCTGCTGAGCAATTGCTACATGCTTCTGCCCTCCATCTCACCTATGCTAGTTATGATGTTTGGCTCACCATGCACCAAGCCATATCAGCCTGATTAACTAGTAAAATACTTAAGTTTTTTTTGTTGAGCTTCATTTTTGCTAGCTTAGTGGCTGAGTTATGTCTTACCACGGAATCAAATGAGTGCCCAGGCTGGATTAAGGGATGACGCAGGGCTGTGTGGCTAAGGACAGGGGCTGGAGCAGGGCAAAGAAACCAACCAGGTAGGTTACCCTGAGTTGTACTGACCATTGTCTCACTTCCATGGCCTGGAGTAGTTGGATTGCTGCACAGGACTGCAATGACAGACCCTTGCTTGGTTGTAGGGCCTTAAAATTACTTTGCTTCCTGAGGAGAATTGTGTTGCTACTGACTAAAGGTGAAGCTAAATGAGACAGCAGAAGCTAATCTTAAAGCTTGCTATGCTGAAGTGGGGGTGTTCCTTTAGCCATCCCTGGAGCTCTTCGATCCTTGTATGAACCAATTCAACACACGAAGGAAAAAAGGAAGTGGTTTCCTTTAGGTTAGTGAATTCATTTGGTTCGCTGAAGGATCCAAAGCTCCATTAGAGTTAGAACATCGTGACTGGGAGTGTGGCAAGTGCTTATTCTAGTGGTGTTGAACTGCTAGATCAGCTCATCCCTTCACCTGATACTTTGTAGTCCCCCATGATATTTTTGCTGCCTCAGGGTGGGGGGTCATTGTCTACAGTTACTGAGAGACTGCTGCTTGCTAGTTTTCTTGGTGTAAAAATTCACCACAGAAGGGAAAGCTTCTTCCAGATCACATCAGAGCACGTTGCTGTGAGTCAAAGGGCATGTTTCTAAGAGTCTCTTTTTAGATGTATAGCATTTCTGCAAAGCAACTAGTAAAGTCACTCTGAATTTGTGTTAGTCTGCTATGACTCTAGTGTAGGCATGCAAAGTGAGCCTTGCTTCACTTGCCTGCTATTCCTTCTCATGGCCTTGCTGCTACCTTCACACCTCCTCCCAATACTCAGAACTGCTCCCTTGTTGTTTGTCCTGCCCTGAAGGGAGAAATGGTTTGTTTCTCATGCCATGTATTCAGACCTGGCCAGGTCTCTGCAGGGCCCAATATGAATAAATGAGTAAGTCTTACCTCACTGGTTTGGGACCAGTGTTCTAGGCACAGAGAACTCATACTTCTCTAAAAATGAAAATTTCTTAGTACAAACTCTGACCAGAAAAAATCGTATTTGTGTCTTCAGGATTGCTTGGGTTGCTGCTTTATTACTAACATAATCAAAATCTAATGAGTAGAGGTCATCCAGTATATAGAAAAAGAAAGATCTGCATATGTTTAAAAGTGAAATTTGAAGATGCAGTTTTTCCTCTATAATGATTATTTTTTTAATACATATAATGATCACAAAAGGTGTTCATTTTTATCTGACTCCTTGTAGACTGCTATTGTAATGTAAGGATGTATACTGAGAAGGAAAGGGTTTGTAGTGCAGCTCATGGAATCCCTCTTTGCTATGTAAAAATTAATGTTTTCTTCTCTCCCCCCGCTTTTGACTTTTGTAGCGTAAACCAGGTCCTTACTTAAACTGTATATGGATATTTCTAAACCTGTTTTTTAAGTCAGATCACTTTTAAGAATTGTATCCTGCCAGATGAGAACGGTAACTTGCATCTGTTAGTACGTGCAGCAATTCTTAGGCTTAAATGCCTTTAGTACTGCAGCTCCTATACACTAAATAATTAGTACTGAAATAGTTAATTGTTGTCTGAATGTAATTGCTTGTACTGTTTACCCTAAAGTGGGAATTTGTCCCCTTTTTTTCTGTGTGTGTGTGTAGGAAATAAGGGAAACAAGAAGACGACATGAACATCGTTTGGTTGAGGTGGACACTAGTCGCCAACAGGAGTACGAATCCAAAATGACTCAGGCTCTGGAGGATCTGCGAAATCAACATGAGGAGCAAGTCAAACTGTACAAAATGGAGCTTGAGCAGACCTATCAGGCTAAGGTAACAACTGCTATCCACAGAACTGTCTGACAGGAAGTCCAGTTGGTGAGATAAAACCATTTCCATCAGCCCTACTGTCTTTAAGGAGACAAGTAATTATAATTTGAAGTAGCTTTGTCCCAGTGTTCAAATGCCTCCTCTGGTGCTTGTGCAAAGATGCTTTTACAGGGAGGTTACAGCCAGAGGTAATAGCTAGGAACAGCTTTAGCGAAGAAAGGCCAGTTTGTGAGAAAACACAGGGAACTGTTGGTCACTGCAGAGGGAACAGTGGGAATAGTGGATGTCACACAATAGCTGATTAGACAATGTCTTTCTAAGGAAGGTTTTTTTCTACATGTCAGTAGATCCAGTTCTTCCTCCAAAATGGAGATGGTGGAGGAGGCTTGCAATAGGTGCAGTATATTGGCACTAGGAAGCTGGAGGGATGGGTGGGGAGAGCTTGGGGAATGGGTGCATTTCAATATGGGCTTTTGCCTGGATGCAGTGAGCTTGCAAACTAGCATGCACATACTGAGAGGGGCTTCATGTCCAAGGTTGCACTGTCATTTTACTCCTACTGTGGCCTTTACAATGTTCTTACTCGCCCCAATACTCTTTGAAATGTGTGGAAGCCTTATCACATTTCAATGATCTAAGTTAGTTGTGGATTGGAAAATTACTAGATGCAGTTGTGGTTTCATTGGTGGCTGGGAAACTTCAGGCAAGGTATTGGGACCTTTCCTGACCAGCTTTGGTGATGAAAACCATGGTATATAAATTGGCAATTACAGAATCATGGAATGGTTTGGATTGCATGGGACCTTTCAAGGTTATCTAGTCCAACCCCCTGCAATGGGCAGGGTTGTCTCCAACTAGATCAGGTTGCTCAGAGCCCGTCTAACCTGACCTTGAATGTTTCCAGGGATGGGGCATTGACCACCTCTCTGGGCAACCTGTGCTAGTGTTTCACCACCCTTGTTGTAAAAAATTTCTTCCTTATATGTAGCCTGAATCTACCCTCTTTCAGTTTAAAGCCATTACCCCTTGTCCTATTGCTACAGGCCCTACTAAAAAGCGTGTCCCCATCTTTCTTATAAGCCCCCTTTAAGTATTCAAAGGCTGCAATAAGGCCTCCCTGGAGCCTTCTCTCCTCCAAGCTGAACAACCCCAACTCTCTCAGCCTGTCCTCATCGGAGAGGCTCTGATCCATGCCTCTGATCATCTCTGTGGTCCTCCTCTGGACCTGCTCCATGTCTTTCCTGTGCTGAGGGCTCCAGAGCTGGACACAGTACTGCAGGTGGGGGTCTCACCCTTAGAGCAGAGTAGAGGGGAAATGTGAACATAGGAGTAATTTAATCCGGGAGAATGCTGCTTAAACTTCTTAAAACTATTTGTACTCTTTTGGTCTATGTGCCTGTTGTTGCGGATGAGTGGAACGCACCTCATCAAAAGAGAGAAGCAGCAATATTGTTTTATTGAGGTAAACCAATAATTTGACAGAGTTCAGTAAGTTCGATGGAATCTAACAAAGTTTAACAGCGGTTTGACACGGTTTAGTAAGTTTGATGGCAAGGTTCACCTTATTAATTACTGTATGGAAGGAACATGCAAAGGAAGATTGCATTAGAATGATTCACGCAGAGACCGGAGACTCAAAGAGTAAGGAGAACCCTCCTTTTGAGTCACGAGGTTCAGAGTGGACCCCCTTGCTTTCTAAACTCTCTTTTGGAGCCTAGGTGCAGGTGGATCCAATTTTAGTCTCAGACTTGGTCAATGGTTTATGTCTAATGGAATTATCCATACAATGTTTTTAATAGGATTGAATAGCTACATGAATTAGTAATATTTCATAGTATTAATTCAGCATGCTATCAGTCACTGGATCTGTCACGTGTAAGGGATCTCTCTGTCCTAGGTAAGGAAGGATCTCTTAAGTCTCAGGTGGGGAATCTCTAATCTTGAGAGGCATCCCTGCTCAAGGGGAGAGTCACCTGGTCTGCAGTCCAGCTGGTAATATTTACAGGATGAAGTAGTTGGCTGCTAGTCAGTATAGACGAGATAGATGTCTTCATTTTAGCTCTGATATCCTGTTCTGTACTTTGGTTATCTTGCACTTTTTGGTTTCGAAACCACCTTTCAAAATATTTTTCAAGACACCTTCACTCCCTTGTACGTGAGGCAGGGGCTTTCCAGCTAGCAAGTTCATCCCCAGGATGTGAGGCCTGTTGCTCCTTAGTCAGCCTGAACCAAAGTACAGCTAGGAGTCAAGTGTATCTATCACACCTGTGCAAATACCAAGTTAGCAAATCCCAATTCATCCAGCAGTGGGGATATGGGAGGAGTAGTAGCTTTGATAGTAAGCATCAAAATACTGTCTCTGGCTTAGGAAGTCCCTGAGTTGCAAATGGCCAGCTGAGACATAATACCCATGAAATATTTTATTGAGGTTAGTCCCTGGGCATCCAGGGAACTGTTAGACCAGGATGTGAACTAGGTAGCCTTTGCTCTGACCCAGTGTGATTGTTCTTACGACAAACAGGCAGATAGTGTGAACACATGAACCTCCGTTTTTGGAAACTAGAAGGCTGCTTGTGTAACGGAAAGGCTAATAGACTATTTTTTTTAATATCATAAGCAAATCCTGTAGGGATAGGACTGAAATAGATTTTCCTGGTCCTTAGGGCATTCCCTTAATGTTATGGAATTCTTATCATAAGCTTACCAGATTTCCATCTAAAATTATTTAACATGAAATAGCTTCTATTTTTTACTGAAAGGATATTTGCAGGATATCTAACTCAATGCAAGTGACTTATATAAAACTTGCCTTCCAGCTGGAGAATGCCAAACTGTCCTCTGACCAAAATGACAAAGCTGCTGGTGCAGCTCGAGAGGAGTTGAAGGAAGCTCGCATGAGAATAGAAGCTCTCAGCTACCAGCTTTCTGGCCTTCAGAAACAGGTAAAGGGACTAAATTTTCTTTCATCTCTAAAACAGAGCACTGTATTGTTTGTATACATTAACACTTCTGTCCCTTCATATTTTCTGAATTTTATGGAGAGAAATCTTTGTGTTCATTTGGGAGGGAGATGAATTTTTACCTTTTTTACTGTACCCACATAGATGCCAACTGGCTTTTCCATTGTGATGTCTACCTAGGCTAGTGCAGCAGAAGATCGCATTCGTGAATTGGAGGAAATGATGGCTGGTGAGCGGGAAAAGTTTAGGAAGATGCTAGATACAAAGGAGAGGGAAATGACAGACATGAGGGACCAGATGCAGCAGCAGCTTACAGAATACCAAGAACTGCTTGATGTTAAATTAGCACTGGACATGGAGATCAGTGCTTACCGAAAACTCCTGGAAGGAGAAGAGGAAAGGTACGTACAGATTCCACGTTCTTTTCTTAGGACTAGCAGGTTTTATTTTCATTTCTTATCTTTTCTTTCTTTCTTTTTTTTTTTTTTTTTTTTTTACCATTTTAAGAGGAATGCCCAGACTTTCTTTCACTGAAGTCATATTGGCTTCACACCACAATGTGTTGCACGGAACACTTGCAAGTGTTCTCATCTGAACGCTGTCTTTATTTTGTTTTTTATAATGGTCTCAGGGTACAGTGGAATATATCATTCTGTGCTTGACATTCATCTCCTCTTTTTATTTAAGTGCTTATACTTCTGCATTTTCCTGTTTTTAAATGATGTGGCCCAAGAATACTGTGTTTAGCAGTAGATATACTGGAGGGGAGTGTTAAGTGATCTGTGTTGCTCTCATGAGCACTGCTTTCCGTGTCACATAATCGTACTATCAGAAAATTTCTCAGGGATGGGTAGCCCCCCCCCACCTTCTGTTCTAAGCAGTCCTCCCGACACACACAGTGAGGCTGCTTTCAGCCTTGGGGCATATTACAGTCTGGTTACTGAGCATATTGTAGCATTATTGCTTTGCGTGTAGTTCCTTGGATGAGTTTAATTAAAATGCTTGCTTCATTGTGTTAAGGTTGAAGCTCTCTCCAAGTCCCTCCCGTGTTACAGTCTCTCGGGCTACCTCCAGCAGTAGCAGTAGCAGTACTTCACTTGTTCGCTCTTCCCGAGGCAAGAGAAAACGTATTGAAGCAGAGGAGCTTTCAGGCAGTGGAACAAGTGGAATTGGCACTGGAAGTATTAGCGGCAGCAGTAGTAGCAGTAGCTTCCAAATGTCCCAGCAAGCTTCAGCTACAGGAAGTATCAGCATAGAAGAGATAGACCTGGAGGGCAAATACGTTCAACTGAAGAACAACTCGGAGAAGGTAAGAGTCAGCAGAACTCCTAGAAAACAAGGAGGAGGAGCTAAATTGAAATGTTACACAGCATTTTGTAGCACAAGTAGTTGGAGTCACTTGGAGAGCAGGAGCAACATCTCAAGGTGCAGCATCCTGCAATAATTAACAGGGGCATTTGAAAGTTGAACGTTACAGCGTGCTAGCATGAGTGTAATGTTTGCTGCAGGAAGAGAACATAGTTTGTGTCCCAAATGTCTAAACAAGTGTGCTGGTACCTTGCTCATGTAAATAGCCTTGCTGGCTCTAGCAAAACTTTTTTGTGTGCAATTTGTATCTTTGTAAATTTTGCTGAATGACCTCATGGGATTTACATTTTAGACTGTTCATGCGTATAGAAAAATACTTTCAGGTTAGAATGCAGATGTCTAACAACCCTGTAATAAATTTATATTCACGTTATTTTAATAACAAAGAGACCTAGAGAAAGCTCTGATGCCTGTTTGCTCTGTTTTGCTCACCCTAAATAACTTTATGACTCTTTCCATTAGGATCAGTCTTTGGGTAACTGGAGACTGAAAAGACAAATTGGAGATGGAGAAGAAATTGCTTACAAGTTTACTCCTAAGTATGTCCTCAGAGCTGGGCAGACCGTAACGGTAAGTTATACTTAAAGTATGTCAACAACATACTCTTTTTTTGATGCTGTGGCAGTTGTAAATCTGACATTTGGTACAGCCTGATTTGGTGTATAACTTTTGGTTTCTTGGATCTCACTTTAGAGGAGCAGGATTTCAGCTATAAAAATGCAGAACAGAAACTGAATTTCTGTATTAGCACTTAAGTATTTAAGACCATTCCAGGCCCAGAGAAAGTTGAAGAAAAAGGTATTTTGGGGGGTGGGTCAAGGGCTGTTTGTTTTCAAATACCTTTGCCCAGGTTTGGAACACTAATCCTGCTCAACCTCTTAATAAAATAAATAACATTTCAGAGCATTTGTTCAGTCTAGTAGACTTTAGTTAAGACTAGACGTTCTCAGCCTTAACTGTAGTAGAACAGCTGCTTTTCTATAATTTTTTATTTTATTTTCCATCTGCAACAGACGTTATTTCAGAGGAAAAAAATGGCTTTCCTTTAATCAGTTCCAGCTATTTCTACCTAAGTATCAATTGCTCCAATACATATAAAAGATTGAATTGATAAAATACAGCTTGCAGCGTATGTCTTGACTCCATACAGTATAGTTATTGAGACAGTGGTAGGAGAAATATGTATATTTCTCAGAAATAAATTCAGAAAAGAATTGATGACTGCAGTATTAGACAATTTTTTTTAATCTTTTGTTTTATGGCTAGTGTTACTTTTTGTTGTAGACTGAGAATAATATCATACTACAGGTAATGGTGTAGGTAAAAGCAGGGTAAAAGTGCCATTGGAATTCAGAAACAACTGGTATGTAGAGAAGAGTAGGAGAATTAGGGGGTTCTGTGTATTTAAAAATAGAATGTGCATAAGTAGCTAATTACGGAATGTCTTTCTCACTAGATTTGGGGTGCAGATGCAGGTGTATCTCATAGCCCCCCTTCTGTTCTCGTGTGGAAGAATCAAGGCAGCTGGGGCACTGGAGGAAATATCCGCACATACCTCGTAAACTCTGAAGGAGAGGTAGGCTGTGTCTGTAGAAAAAAGGCTGCGGGCTGGGTTATCTCCCAAACTCTTTAATTTGGGGGGTGGGGAATGGCAATGAAATCCTGATTTTAAGATGTGCCCAATTGTCTTCTAAAAATAAGACAGTTTATAACACTGAAATAATTAAATATCTGTATGTATCTCTGAGATTTCTGGGAAATTTTGGAAAACTGTGATGATCTTCCTGATTACATCCATATACTTTTTTTTTTCCTATTTTAGAAAAATAACCTGCTAGTAGGATTTTTGTTTGGAATTTGAGTATGTATTTTCAGAAGAGACAAAGAAAATAAATATTGCTGGCAATTCAAAGTTACATTATGTAGTACCTACAATATTCTGGGGTGCAGTGTAGGAAGATAGCTGTCCTTTCAATGTTGGAAGTATATCAGGAGTTTTCATTTGGCACAGGTTCCTGTGTATTCTGCATTGTCCTACATCTGCCCACAACTGATTTTTTTAAAACCATGCCTGCAGAAAACTCCTGCAAGGGAGGATTGTGCTTTAGCTGTTATTCATAAATATGCCATTATCCCAGTGATCTGATAGAAATAGGAAAGCGAAACAGACCACAGTTGTATCAGTTTTCATGCTGCCTTTCTTGTTGGCAATTCTGTGGAAGCACTTTGTGCAGGAAGAGCAGCACAAGACAAGGTAGGAGGGAAGGTAATTTGTACAAGTAGAAAGCTAAGTGGCTTAGTATTCAAATAGAAACAGTTAAACTAGTGTCTGAAAAAATTTCAAATCCATGTCTGTTACCACTGTGGTTACCTTTAGTATCCCCACTTAGAAGTGTATGTTTAGCGTGACTTTTTCCACAAGTAGAAATTTGCATATATGATTTCAAGGGTGTAAGTGTACAGAAGAATTTCTTACTACTAAGAAGTGTTAAAAATAATTCAGTAATAAAGGAAGCTTCCTGGGGTTTTAGAATTCTTTTTGGTCCCTGGTTTGGAAGACTGTCCTGATAATTGATATATGCAATTAATATAGAATATTTAGTAGAAATTAGGAATATTCTTAATGCTATGTAATCATACTGAGAAACTTTAGTTTCTCATGGTATATCTCGGACAGCTCCTAGCTGAGTCTGCTATAAGCTTGTATAAAATGGACTAATGGCCACGGCTGCTTCCTCTCAGATCCCTAGGTAATGAAAGAAAATTCCTGAAGCTAAATTACATTACCATGCCTTTTAGTGGATAGAAATAGGAATGTTGTTGTGGTTTGCAGGATATTACCAGTATTTGCTTGCATAGCTAATGTTAAATCTAGGGCAAGTTGCTTTAAATTTTGCTAAAATCCAAAATTTAATAGGGGTATTATATTGATGGTATAGCAAAAACTTGAGAGAGACTACTGGCCATCTCCTTATCTATCATTTTGTGTAGGAAGTTGCAGTGAGAAGTGTTACTAAATCAGTAGTCGTGCGAGAGAACGAAGAGGAAGAGGATGAAGCAGAGTTTGGAGAGGAAGACCTTTTCAACCAACAGGTAATAAGATGTGGACCAGATGTTTAACTTGTGCCTCATTGGCTAGATTAATCGGGCATAAGACTTAGGGGGTTGCCTTCAACTTTTGCTAGCTCTGAGCTTCCTGGTCCATTTCTCCAACGGATGCTTGCAGAGGATGATCTCAGAATGGCTTGCAACCCTGCAGCATTGCTACAATGCACAGAGGGTAAAATGTGAGTGATTCTTCCAGGAATTGCTGCTTGAATCAATAGTGGTACAGCTCAAGCAGTGGCTAACGTCAGGTCAGGATGGCAGGGTATCTATGGAAGCATGCAACAGATCACAGATTTACAGCACTGCAATGACATAGACTATTTTTAGGGTTAGTAAGATTAGTTTTAGCAGTCGGTGTTCCTCCCATTCCAGTATTTGCTCCTCTATAAAAAAGAGTCTGTGGGATTCTTGCTGTAAGCAGAATATAACCATGGGGTATAACTATTGGGAAATACAACCACTAAAAACCAGGAAAGAGGGAGTGCTTCTGTTGCTGCAAGCTTCAGCTTATTGGTTTATTTCTGATAGTATATATACCTGCTACATCTGAAATAAACTTGGCTTTTCTTAATAATACCACCTGTATGTTTTCATAACCCTTAGTTAAATACTGTGAAATAACTGACCAGCAGTCAGCAGAGTGAAAAGAAGAAAGATACTTCATACAGGTGATAGCAGAAAATATTTAAAATTTATTTCAAACTCAAGCGATTTGTTCTCCTGATCAGTGACCATTAGTAGCTCTTTTCACAAAGAACTCATTCTGTGCAGGCTTGAAGTTGAGTTCTGAAAGTTTTTTTTTTTTTTTGGTCTCCAGGAGATTGAGCAGTGTATTTGTAGTAAAAGCAACTGAAACTTTTTTTTTTTACCCAAAGAAGGAGCTATGCAGCATAGACCTCTCTCAAATAGAAACATCCTTTGAAAGAAAGGAAGGAACTTGCTGTTCTAAAGCTAATGACATCATGATTTTAATTTGTCATCTGCATCAGTGTTGAAAGTATGGAGGTTATAACCACTCAACCCACCATAGAAAACCAGAACTAGAGTAGCAGTGTCTTAATCCTGGCACTGGACTGTGATGTGTGCTATGCTTTCTCTATGGTTTTGATGTTCCCTGAGTATAACTAAACTACAAAAAAAATGCTTTTAACAACTGAGATGATAACCAGAGTTTAGGCTTACAATATGAAAAGCTAGTAAGATTGAGTTCAACTATGTCTGTCTTATTTTAGGGGGATCCCAGAACAACCTCTAGAGGATGCTCAGTGATGTGAAGAAAGAAAAAAGAAACTATTACTTGCTATTTTTTTTTTCATTTATTTCCTTTTATTTTTGCTGTTTTTTTCCCTCCAGAGCCACTGAAAACTATTTTTATATGCATCATCTGATTTCTTTGAAGCTTATTCCTTGGTACCTTTTTATAAAAAAAATTCAAAAAAAAAAACCTTTACTGAACAAAACTGCCAGAATTTTTAATAGATTTCTTTATTTTTCCCTCTTTGTTGAAACACTATATTGGAATACAGTATTTTTCCCCATACAGAGTTTAAAGTCTTATGTACAAACCTGCAGCAGAAAAGAAATTTTTAGCTAAAATGGGATGAGACTCCTTGAGTATATGGTAAATCTATAATTGCATAAATAACCAGGATAACTTAAAAAAAAAAAAAAGTTTTAAGAAGCGTGTTCATCTGCATGTCCCCAGGAGAGATTCACAGTAGTGTTTCCTCCATACTTTAAGAAACAGTAGTATCATGCCTGGTATCCTCAGCAGTGCCCAGCTTGGGAAAATTAGACCCCAAGTTCATGAAGAATGCTACTCCACCAATGGAAGTAACAAAGGGAAGCTGCATTTTAGACATTCTTGGCTCAGGACCATGGCATCTTGTCCTACTCCAGGGTTTGACAACCTAGTGGTAAAAACATCTGAGTCTGTCAACACCTTAGCTCCATATCATTATTTCAGAAGATGGAGAATAATAGGTTCTGCTTCCTGAATATATACACCATCTTAAGGTATGGAAGTGTCAAAACCAGAGGTTTAGCTGTTTTGTTTTCAGGGGATTTTGACATTGTTGCAAATGAGACCTTATTAAATGGTGGATGCAAGTTGTGATATACAGTATTTATGATGTTCAGCATCATGATTTAATGCTTTTGACATATCTAGCATTAAACAGAATGATTAAGATTTTAGATGTTAAAAATATTTTCACTTTTGGCAATGATAAATATTGGGGATTTTAAAGGTTATCCTGTGTAAATGTTGACTTTTAAAATCAGAGCTAGATGCAGCTTGTTCATACTTCTCTTGTATTCAAAGGGGTATTGTCAGATATCTTAAGGAGCAGTATTTGCAAAATACTACAGAAATAGTTTAATGACTTTTTAAAAAAGCTGAAAGGAACTGCTGCTGTTCAGGACATAAGCATTACTTTGCAATGTTCAAATGCTCGAAGTAAAGTCTAAGAGTGAGTGAAGGGAGAATCATGCTTTTTATCAAAAATGCTTTGTATGAGTAGCAGGTGATTTTTATTTCAGTATGATGCATTTCGTACCTGACAATGTCCTTTTAGCTTAAGGTTTCTTCTGCTGCATTTCTGTGAAGATAACTCTGACTCCCATAAGGCTTAGTATTCATATAGTAGTGCATCTTTAAGCACTAGGAAAAATACTTGACTGCTCCGAAGAATGTATTGGCTACTGTACAAGCAAATGTTTTTTCCACTGATTATTAGTTTGGATACAAAATTTGGATACCGTTTGATGCCAGCATAGAATCCTGTTTTTACCTGCACTCTTGAACTCTGATCTTGTCATTCAAATAGTTTAGACTCATTAAACAAGCTACAAGGTTTGGATGTTTTCGGTGGCTTTTGGACATTATGTTCTCTGAACAGTATTGTGACTGACAGATGTAACCTAGAAAGTCAGTATAGTGGCTTTGACTGATGGCTTTGTAATGCAAGCAGGGTGGGAACAAATGGGGTTTTTTTAGGCTTCTGGATTTATTTTGCCATTTAAAAATAAATCAAAGATGCTACTTTTCTCTATTTGAGTGGGATGTCTGAATTACTGAATAGAAATTTAGAATTATGTTTTTAGTCCATTATCAGAAGATCCATTACAAAAAAGCAGTTTGAAGATTTGGCTATTTGGGCTAATGGGATAACTTTTTGATGTACTTGGCCGTTTTTCTAACGTAATTTTCCCACTCTGCTTGAGTAGAAGGTTAAATATGTAGTAAATCATGTCTATCTCTCTGTAAAATGTATCTAGTGAAATTATGTTTCTCAGACATAGTTATCAATTACCTTTTCTAAATTTGTTGTTATGCAAATGAATGCAATCAATGTGAAAGTGTTTTTGCAATGCACCTTCCAACCACTGGATAGCATTTCCCTTTCTGACCCACAGCTTCTATAATATACTTACGTAATGTTTAAGGGCTTTTTGCTTTTTTTCTAAGGATCTGTATTTATTTTTTTTTACATTGGCCAGTTTTCAGATTGCTTATTCCTCTTTAAGATTGTCCTGTAAATGTTAAGATTGTTCTGTGATCTTAAATACTAAGGCAATGAGTGTGTAGTTAATTTGCATTTTTTCCTGTGGTGTTTTTTTGTTTGTTTTTTTTTTTTCTGTAAAGAATGGGCTAGGAAAGGCAGCTTGAATGAGGACAAACCTCTTGCTACTTGAGCCATAGTTTTCTTAACAGCTACTGTATGGGGAATGTATCTTCTTGTAGCCTTAAGGACTGGTGCTTGCAGATCTTCTGTGATGAGCATTGTGCCCTTCAGTAAGTCAGCAGAATTTGTCCTTAGACTTGGAACTGTGTCCTTTTAACTTTGGAAACAGCTTATTTTATTTTTCAGTACCGTTTAGGTATAAACAGGTGTTTATATAAAACAGTGATTGACATAGTGGGAAAAGCTGAATGCCAACAGTCTATATCTGGGTGATTCTGTTGCCACAGTGCTTCTAAAAGGCTACTAAAAATATGAGAATTCCTAGCTGTAAATTACAAGACACAGAAAAACTACTGTATTCCACTTACCTTCTTCTTGTGTGTGCGTTTTCTCTAGATGCCATCCTTTCCTCTTGCTTTTGCTGCTGAGCTTCAGTGTAACAGCACTATCCCTTTAAAGTTGGTGTTCCATACTGGGAGGATTTTTGGCTTTCCCAAACCAAAAAGCATTGTTTATTTTTTTTTCTGTCTTTCAAGGATTATTTTTTTTTCTTCGGGATAATTAAAACTTTTTGTTTAAATAAAATCCAGTGTCCCCTTGCCCTCTTTTCCTATTTGATCCTGTATGTGAACCATTCTTGAAGAAACTGGAGGATAGTCAGCATTTCTACTCCAGTGTCTGATATCAGGTGTAGACCTTGAAGGAGAAATAGATTTGACTTGTCAGGAGAAAACTGATTTTAAGGCTTCTCTGATTAGGGAAATTAACCAGTACAGCTTTTATCAAAGTAGTTACTTGAGTGTAACTACCTGTATGGATGTTCTTACTCCAGAAAAATAACCAAGCAACTTTATTCTGGATGAAATAGTAAAAATGATTCATAAATGATTCTTGCTGGTTAAGATGGAGAAGGAATAACGGCATAACTGCAGCAGAATAGTTAAGCCAATCATTTCATTGTGTAGATCACAACATAATTTCATGTAAAATATGATAAATGCATACTACCTACTCCTAAGTTCGTACCACGTGAAAATGTGTGTGTCAGACCACATCCAACCATCTGCAGAAGTACCAGTAACATGGCGTCCTGCAGACTGAGATACGGTTACAGAGAGCCTCTGACATTTCATGCCACTTCTTTCTTCCTTGCTTCTGTAATTGTTACTTTGTTGTGTTGCAGTGACTTATTCCAAGTAATAGAGTGGCTATGATTCCTTTGTTGCTGCACAGCTTTATTTCCCAGTGTGTCTACTTAGGCTAGTTCGGGACTCTAGATTTTCCCTGACAAAAACAATAGTTTACACTGATGGATCGATCACTTGCTTTCAGCACCATTTTGCCATTAGATGGGAGTTGGCTGATGTATTTTGTGTTTGTAGCAGGAACCAAAAGTCTCAGGAAGAAAATAAACATCTGCTTCCCATGACCTGCAATGTAAAAGCCAGACGAGCTTGTCTGCAGCTTGCATTAGTCATGAAAATAGTATTGCAGCGTGAAGCAGACTGTACTGTGAAAGGAGATCACTTAATGTGCATGTTTATCCTTGAGCAACAGGACACCTCATGTTCAGTTCAGGGATCTTACTGTTTTTTTATACTATTTTTTTCTTCTTTCCAGTGGTCATCCTGTATAAAGGCCCTTTAACTGCAACCTGAACAGAGGTTAGTTAGAAGAGGCTTGTAGAAACCCTCTCTACACCCCAGAACATTTGAGGATCTGTTTCTTTTGTATGCATCAGAAAGATTTTGATGCTGTATGAAAAACATGAGTGCTGTTTTATATCTCTTGTAGCCACTTGTCTCACTTCCTCACTGTTAAGCCATTCTGTCTCTTCTTTCTGTATCTTCTTTTGAAAGTCTTACCTCTAAACAAAGGCATATCCATATTTGATACTGGATTTTATTGCCACTGTTGGGTCCAAACCGTGTGTGAGCAGGAAACAAAGCCTTGTTGTAAACCAGTGAGTGGAAGGTGAGATAGTGATTGCATTTTTCAAAGCATTGTTTTAGCTGAATGTCAAGACAAATTAATATTGGAGAGTTTCTTTTCTCACTTAAAATGGCCTGGGAAACAGAATTTTTATTTGCCCTTCAATATGCTTAGCTTTAAACCAGTTTAAAATAATTTAAAAGTGGTTTGTTTTTTTTAATACAAGACCATATTTACATGCAATTATTACTTGTAAACATAATGCCTTTCTTGAAATGCTAAGGTCTAGAGAGTGAAAAGGATGCTTAATATTGAAAGACTCTGTTCAGAGTAGCACAAGCAGTGAATCGACTTGGAGTTCAGGAAAATAAAATGTGTTCTATTGAACCTCCAAATTTTCTAGTTAGTTTTTAATGAAGTGATGATTCCGTGTTGATAAGATAGATGTTATTGTGTGTTACAGCTACCCAGATCATCATTACACTAAAATTACAAGCAATAAGCTATTTTAAACAAGTTTAAGCCAAAATGCTTTCCATTTGGGCACAAAATACAGTTGAACTCTATTTTCATAACAGTGATGCCTTGTGACTTGAACTGTGATTTATTTTTTTATTTTTCTTTTTTAACACAATCTTTATTTGGATAGCTCTGGTTCTAGGTCACTGGTCAGTTTAACTGACCACCTCCGGTCAGCTGCTGTAGATGAGTTTTTGGAAGGTTGAAGTTTTTAAAATAAGGAATTGTGGAAAAGGTTGCAAATTGAAATACAAAGACAAAGTTATGAAAATGTTCACATGGAACTTGTGAAAACTACATAATGATCTAGACTTTATCATTTCAAAGTGGGTTTTTTTCTTTTTAGAATATGCATGCCAAATGTCTTGTCTTTTTCAATGATTTGTAATATACATTTTATGACTGGAAACTTTTTGTACAACACACTCAAATAAATGTTTTGCATTTTGCTTCCTTCTTTCATTTAACCAACACAGAGGCCACATGGGCCGTTTGAGATGATTCATCCCAGGGGACCTTCCTGTGTGTAGAGAGATAGGGGACAAAGAGCTATCTGCACTCCTAAAAGAGGTCAGCTGAATTGTGTGGCGTGCTCCAGAAGCTAATGAAGAATGCTTTTCTTTACACAGTGCTCACGGAAAGTGCTGTCCTCTCTGGTCAATAGCACTGCTCACAAAGGAAAGCAGAGGGAAGAACTTGAGTAGCTGGAGCAGGTAAACAAATGTCCCCTTCCTTTCTTGTCACCCCACTTACCTCTACAGCCCCTGCACTGAAGGGGTTGTTTCCATTTAGCCCGCTTGATCCTGACTTGAGAGAACAAGAGCAGATACTGAGCCCCAGCAGTGATTACTTCTTAGGAACTAGGAAATGGGCAGAACCACTGCTCTGAGTTGCCATGTTCATTGCTAGCCTAGCTCAATTTTCAGTCCACTTCTTTTTGCTAGGCTGTACTCACTATAAAATTGTACCATTGACAGCTCCCACATCTTTAGCACTAGTTGATGATAATTCTGTGAGGTGTAGGAATGGTTTCTTTTTCTAATGGACAGACCCACAGACAGGACAATATGGTTTACAGTATTCTGTCTTCTGAGTGTGGGCTCTAGCTAGTGAAGATGAGAGTAGTTTTGGCTCTAGCTCTGATGTAATGCTCCATTCCTTGTCTCACATCAACTTAGAGATAAGCACCGATCTCCTTTCTGCACATAACATCTACTCCTGAAAAAAGCTCCGTAGCTGTGTTGTCTCCCATGTGCTTCTACCAACTCCCACAGCATTCTTACATTCTTACTTAATGGGGGATATACCATCCTGGAATCAATGCAGGCTTTAAGGGTATGAGCCTCTTACTTGAGTCATCTAAGGCAGAGGGAGCCATTGTCATATCCTCAAAGAGAAAATTCACTAGGGAGTTGCTCTGTGGAGGGAGCCCATATCATAGTGCTCGTATTTCATGTCAGGATGTAGTTATGCAGCATTTTTCTCTGTGGTAAACCCAGTTTAAGTCCCTTCCCGTTGCCTCATGTGTGGGGCTGCGCTTAAAACATGATACTCAAATGCTGTGCTGTATTTAACCAGCAAAACGTCACAGGTCTGGCAGACACTCCAGCCCAATGCCCAGCCACCCGCATTCTGGAGGGATGGGTTGGAGAGCTTGGGGAATGGGTGCATTTCAATATGGGCTTTTGCCTGGATGCAGTGAGCTTGCAAACTAGCATGCACATACTGAGAGGGGCTTCATGTCCAAGGTTGCACTGTCATTTTACTCCTACTGTGGCCTTTACAATGTTCTTACTCGCCCCAATACTCTTTGAAATGTGTAGAAGCCTTATCACATTTCAATGATCTAAGTTAGTTGTGGATTGGAAAATTACTAGATGCAGTTGTGGTTTCATTGGTGGCTGGGAAACTTCAGGCAAGGTATTGGGACCTTTCCTGACCAGCTTTGGTGATGAAAACCATGGTATATAAATTGGCAATTACAGAATCATGGAATGGTTTGGATTGCATGGGACCTTTCAAGGTTATCTAGTCCAACCCCCTGCAATGGGCAGGGTTGTCTCCAACTAGATCAGGTTGCTCAGAGCCCGTCTAACCTGACCTTGAATGTTTCCAGGGATGGGGCATTGACCACCTCTCTGGGCAACCTGTGCTAGTGTTTCACCACCCTTGTTGTAAAAAATTTCTTCCTTATATGTAGCCTGAATCTACCCTCTTTCAGTTTAAAGCCATTACCCCTTGTCCTATTGCTACAGGCCCTACTAAAAAGCGTGTCCCCATCTTTCTTATAAGCCCCCTTTAAGTATTCAAAGGCTGCAATAAGGCCTCCCTGGAGCCTTCTCTCCTCCAAGCTGAACAACCCCAACTCTCTCAGCCTGTCCTCATCGGAGAGGCTCTGATCCATGCCTCTGATCGTCTCTGTGGTCCTCCTCTGGACCTGCTCCATGTCTTTCCTGTGCTGAGGGCTCCAGAGCTGGACACAGTACTGCAGGTGGGGGTCTCACCCTTAGAGCAGAGTAGAGGGGAAATGTGAACATAGGAGTAATTTAATCCGGGAGAATGCTGCTTAAACTTCTTAAAACTATTTGTACTCTTTTGGTCTATGTGCCTGTTGTTGCGGATGAGTGGAACGCACCTCATCAAAAGAGAGAAGCAGCAATATTGTTTTATTGAGGTAAACCAATAATTTGACAGAGTTCAGTAAGTTCGATGGAATCTAACAAAGTTTAACAGCGGTTTGACACGGTTTAGTAAGTTTGATGGCAAGGTTCACCCTATTAGTTGCTGCATGGAAGGAACCATTCGCGCTGCTGGGCAACACGAAGCTGGGAAGTCACTTGGCGGTCCGGGAAACCAGCCCCCCCCGAGCTGCCCCGGTGCACTACCGCTGCAAGCCCTGCAGGCGCGTTTCCCGCCCCAGGACTTACCGTCTTCCCCAGGGCCACCTCCACCACAGCCGCTGGTGACACCAAAGCTCATCCCCACACGGGACATCGGCCTCTGCCCTCGCCCCGGCGCCGTCCCCGGGCGCCTCAGGTGCAGGCGCGGGGCACCGCGGCGAGCAAGCCGGCCTCCGGGAGCTCCGGCCCGGCTCCGGCTCCGGCTCCGCTGAGGCGACACCAGCGGCCCCAGCCCCGCCGCCACCCGCAACTGAGGGGAG